CATACATACATACATACATACATACATACATACATACATACATACATACATACACATACACATACACAGATGTATGTGTGTGTATTACACAGAGGTTAGTCCAGGGTCCTTAGAGAGTATGGTGTAGGGCCTTGTTGGAGTTGAAACGCAATCGTTGTCTCAACCCAAAGCCGTAAACCCGAAGCGCTGAAGCCCTAAACCCTGAACCGAAAGTTTAGCTTGCATTGTCCATGGTTTAGGGTGTAGGAACCCAGCTCTTTCAAGATCAACCCTGCGTTCTAAATTCGGCTTGATGAAGGAGCTCGCGGAATCGTGAACTAGCGCCCTTACCACTTTGTCTTGGACATGCTTTTGGGTGCAGACTCTCCAAGCCCGAAATAAAGCAATGGCTTGGATTTGTTGAAGGGCTTCGGGTTCGGGTCCAGGGTTAAGGGTTAAGGGTTTAGGGTTCGGGTTCATGCCCCGAAACCTGTTGTGGGTTGTGCCGTGGAAGCCCGAAAAGAGCAACTCGAAGACTTGAATGTTCCAATCTGCAGATGACAGCGGCATGCCTCAACGCAACACCCTAAACCTTCATGGCGCAACTTTGTGTAGCATTCTATGGCACTCCAAACCCCTCAACCCCTAAACCCCTAAACTGCTAAACCCCTACACTCCGAAACCCCCTAAACCCCAAACTCCTAAACCCCTAAACTCCTAAACCCCTAAAACCCCTAAACCCCTAAAGCTAAATCCCTTGAAACTCTCAAGGTACGTGGCGTCCTTCATCGTGAGGTCCAAGGATCTCCCGGCCCAATACGCGCTTGCGTCAACGCAGCGAGGGGCTTAGCCTTTGTGCGTAATGTAGGGTTCTTAATCATTAGTGTAGGGTTTTGGGGATTCCTCATTATAGTCATAGTCGTAATGTAGGGGCCATAATGATAGAGTAAGGTTTTGGGGATTCCTCATCGTAGTTATAGTATAATATACCCCCAAACCCTGTTCTAGTCATAAAGGCCCCTATATTATGGGATTTTTGGGTTCAGGGATTTAAGGGCTGAGGGTTTGAGGGTTTTGGGGATTCGCGGATTTAGGGTTTAGGGACGTAGGGCGTAGGATTTAGGATTCAGGCCCCGAGGTCAGGGGAAGGGAAGCATGCCGCTGTCCCCGTGCTGCTGTCGATCGCCAACTCGAGACCGTGATAGGGGTTTGTTTTTGACTAGTTTAGTGCTTTTTGAGGCTACGTCTTTAGGGAACGAGTGCCCAAGTGTCGCCTCAGTTCAGGGAGATTAGGTACCAGTGTGTGTGTGTGTGTAAGGGACACCAAAGCCCAAACCTTAAACTCTAAACCCGTAAACCCGGGCAGATGTAGAAGAGCACCCCAACTGTAAAGCAAAACCGTACACCCCAAAGCGCGTAAACCCTGAACCCCTAAACCCCAAACCCTGAACTCAAAACCCCGGGATTGCTAAAGTAGGTTCAGGGCGAGCAGGGGTTCAGGGAGGAGGGGTTTCAGGGTTTTGGAACTTCGTACTGTCTTGCGCTTTGGGGGCTTTCGGGTTGCAGGATTTTGTATAGGGACTCTATAACAAAGCAGGTTCTGGTAGGTGAAGGTAGAGTTTAGGGTTTAGGGTTCAGGGTGAAGGTAGAGTTGAGTGTCGGATTGTAGCTTTTCTTGAGCCATGCAGGATGGTCCTAGACCCCTTTCCCGAGACACCGCTGCCGGCGGAGTGAAAGGGAGCCCATTGCACTTAAAGACTAAGCCCTAAACCCTAAACCCCCAACTTAAACCCTAAACCCTGAACCCCCAGCTTAAACCCTAAACCCTAAAACCCCCCAACTTAAACCCTAAAACCTAAACACCCCAACTTACACCCTAAACCCTAAACCCCTAACTTCAGGTTCTAACGTTCGTTTCCTGGTATAGCGTTTAGGGTAAGAGCTTATAGGGCTTTGGGATAGGGTTGAGAGGGATCGGGACCAGGAGGTTGGTTTCTGTAGCCCCATGAAGGTTTGGGGCCTAAGTTTATAGTAGGGCTTCGAGGGCTTGGGCTTTGGGTTTCGGGCCTGGGGGCTTTATTTCAGGATTTGTAAGAAGGGTTTGGGTGCTTGCGCCCTCAAGTCAAAATCCAGGCTCTCCGCATACCAACTTCGCAAGATATGGTATCGACCGAACCCCGAAACCGTCCTGAACCTCGAACCCCTAATCCCCCTAAGCCCGAAGCCTCTTAAAACTTACACCTAAGCCACCCCTAAACCCTAAACTCTCCCAAAATCCTGAACCCTAAACCCTACCTGTGACTGCAAAGACCCATATTTTGTGAAGAGCTTGTAACCCCTAAACCCCAAAACCCCTAAAACGCTAAAGCCCTAAAACCCTAAACCCTATACCCTAAACCCTAAACCCTTAACCCCTAAACCCCAAAACCCCAAGGCCCCAGGCCCCAAGAGCCCTGGCAGGCACCTGTCTCGATTGGCGCGAGAGGTCTTTCAGGCCACCGAACCCAGAGACTCCTATATCCCTTCATTAAGGAATTTTACCTTAAATCATTTTAGGGATCCTACTATACTTTAAGGTATATTCCTTAATTAAGGGATATTGGAGTCTCTGGGAAGGTTCTGGCACCTGGGGGTTTCGGGGTGTAGGGTTTCAGGGTTTTGGGTAAAGGTTTCAGGGCGTAAGGTGTCGGGTTTAGGGGTCTAGGGTTTTGGGTAAGGGTTTCGGGCTTTAGGGTTTGAGGGTCTTGGGATTTTGGGTGAGTGGATAAGGGTTTCGGGCTTTAGGGTTCAAGGGTCTAGGGGTTTGGGTGAGTGGGTAAGGGTTTCGGGCTTTAGGGTTCAGGGGTCTAGGGGTTTTGGGTAATGGTTTCGGGCTTCAGGGGTTAAGGGGTAGGGTTTTAGTCAAGGGTTGCGGGCTTCAGGGTTTAAGGGTCTAGGGTTTTGGGTGAAGGTTTCGGGCTTTAGGGTTTCAGGGTCTAGGGTTGAGGGGCTGTGAGCGGTTGGGTATAAACGAAGAAGAGGTCCCAGAATTGGTACCTGTCCGTTATTGTCTCTAGCTACTCGTACTATGATATATCGCAGCACCCTCTTGGCATTATCAAGGCCCCTATATCCCGGGTTTAGGGCTGTAGGGCGGGTGACTGGGCCTAAAGTTTGTTGATCTGACAACCAGAAAAGGCCCATGTAGAATTTGGAACAGCTCTTTCAGCTCTTGCATCACCGTTCAGGCAAGAGTTTCAAATTGCGAGAGCCGCAGTCAATGATGGTGGCGCTAAATTCGGACTCGCTTTGTGGTGGTACGTGTTTGTGTTTTGGACTTTGGGACGTTAAGTTGCTAGGGTTTAGGGATGCACCGCTTTCTTGCTTGATGAGTAAGTGCCAGAAGCCCTAGTTGAATGATTTGAATCCCCAGTGTGCCGCCCGGAACGGCTAACTGTCCCCACTCAATCCTTATTCAAGCCCGTACAATGAATCCGGTTAAATCGCACAAAAAACCTAAACCCTAAACCCTAAGCCCTAAACCCTAAACCCTAAACCCTAAACCTCTGAACCGCATAAAGCCTTGTTTTTCTGGTGCTCTGCAGGCGGCAGAGGCGGGTCAGCCTTCCGAATTCCAGCTCTTGCCCCGGCTCGGAGGGGGGGGGGGGATTTTTATGGGGTTCGAGTTTAGGGTTTCTAGGTTTAGGGCTTTGGGGTGTAGGCGTTTAGGGGTTCAGGGGTTTAGGGCTTCGGGGTTTAGGGTTTTAGGGCTTAGGTGTTTCGGGGGTTTGGGGGTTTAGGCCTTAGGGTTTAGGTCGAGTTTCGGGTGTTAGTAGGGGGTTCAGGTGTGTAGAGTTTAGGGTTTAGGGGTTTAGTGTGCAGGGGTTTAGGGTTCAAGGTTTAAGGGTTTAGGGTGAGTTTAGGGTTCTATTTCATCGGGTTCCCTTGAAATGAAAGTAAGGGTCCAAAGGACCCAATAACTACTAGTTTTGTAGGTTAGTATTTGGGAGAGTATATGATTAGTAGCTGCTTGGACCCTCAGCTTAGTGGCTGAGTAGGTAACCTTTACCTTTTGGGGCTCTTATGACCCTACTATAATTCAAAACCCAAAACCCTAAACCCTAAACCCTAAACCCTAAACCCTAAACCCTAAAGCCTAAACCCCTAAACCCTAAACCCTAAACCCTGAACCTTTCTTGGGCTAGGGTGCTCAGCCCCTAAGTCAGGGATGTATAAGGGTGCCGCAAGGGATTCTATAGGCTTCGATACCTAAACCCTAAACCCTAAACCCTAAACCCTAAACCCTAAACCCTAAACCCTAAACCCTAAACCCTAAACGTGGACTGAGGGCTAACCCCAAGGGTCCGAAAGACCCAATAATCAGGTACTCAGGTTTCGGATAGTAGCTATGTAGGTTACTATTTGGGAGAGTATATGACTATTCGGTACTTGGACCCTTAGGGTAAGGGTTACTGATGCTGTTGTGTGAGTATTTCTCTCAATTAGGGTTCTATTTTAGGTCCCGAAAGATGTACGGCACCCTCACAAAGATGACCATAAAACAGGCCCCTAATTTGGAGAACTACCCACCTAGACCGTTAAAGAAACCCTTCTAGAAACCTTCAAGGAGCCCCTTATAGTACCCTTATAGATCCCTGTAAGGAACCCCTTATAGTACCTTGACAGATCCCTTTAAGGAACCCTAAAGGGGACCCTAAACAGCTACGGACTTTCTCGGGTTCCCTTGAGAGGCTTCTGTTCTGACCTGGCCAATGTGCCGGAGGTTTGATTCGCTTATCTGCCCGACCAGATGTCCGTGGAAGACGGGATCGCCCTTTTGGGATCTTCGAAGCCTAAGCGATGTTGGTGAAGGGTTTAGGATTCAGGGTTTTAAGGCCTTATAATCCTAAATTTCCAGCCCTATAATCCAGACATCCGAGAAGGTTTCTCTTGGACGGTTTAGGGTTCCCTTCAGGGACCCTCAACGTGATCTATGAAGGTTTCTATCGGGGTACTACAGGGGTGCCATACGAACAGCTGAGGGTCAACCTCCTCTTGGCCGTCCTGCAGGCTGTCTGGGCTTCTGGGTTCTTGCAAGGCAGAATCTGAAATAACTAATAATATAGGGGCCTAAATAATTACCAGTATTTTGGGCAGAAGCCTGGACAATGACGACAACTCTTTTTTGGGGGGATCCGTACGATGAGCATAGTATGATACACCCCCCCCCAAAGCATTATTTTTCATGAAAGCCCCTATAGTGGAGTCTTTATATACAGTATTCCTTTCAGGAGATCTATGGCTACCATACGGGTTTCAGAAGGGTTCCTGAGGCTTTGGGTGTCGGGTTTCTGGTTTCGGTTCAGGTCGTTTGTTTGCATGTTTGTGTTCACAAAGGGTTTTGAAAGTTGGGAGGGCTTTCAAGGGTGGCAAGCTGAACTTCTGAAACTTGCACCCTTCTTCATCCTTGAATGTCATTATTTCTTATGATCCATTCTTGCCTTATGTTGAACAGCAAAAGTAGTCGTGACTGCCTTGAAGTCCATATTCAAACGCAGGTTAGCATACACCAAATCGCTACTCTAACTGCTGAGGCCGTACATTAAGTCAACACTCGGGGGGGGGGGGTTCGTTATTCACTGAAACACTGCACTGTGCACTGTAGGCCCAAAGTTAGTTGCACTTTCTGGTCTTGTGGAAAGCACCAAGTCATACCCGATTTATAGTTTACCCCTCGTGGGGACGTCCTAAAACCCCACAACCTTAAAACGTTTGCTACATGGGGGGGTTTCCGAAAATAGGG